ATGTATGTATGTATGCATGTATGTATGCAAGTAATGTATGTAATGTAATGTAGTGTAATGTAATGTAATGTAACGTAGTGTAATGTAATGTAATGTAATGTAGGTATGTAGGTATGTAGGTATGTAGGTATGTAGGTATGTAGGTAGGTAGGTAGGTAGGTATGTATGTATGTATGTATGTATGTATGTATGTAATATTATATAGCAGTAGTTTTTTGCTACCAACCTTTGAGGTCTACCCCCGCGTTTGCACATAATCTTTGGCGATTTCTGATGATTTCACCCCGCTGGGCCATCGAAGAATGGTAGCATCAAAATCCTCCTGCACCGGCACCGGCATTATGGTCAAGAAACTCGACCGGTATTTTCGCTTCGAACTGGCAACGCACCTCACACACGAGAGTTGCATGTTTGATCACCGGAACGACCGAGAGTTGCATCTCGCAGCCTGGAATGGTCTGCTGGTTTCGATCCGCGGAATTCATTGAGGCTACTATCGACACATTTTCTCCTTCAGCTTGGATCTCACACCATTCCTGGTGCATGCAGAACCTCAGGACGCAGATTGACAGATCGGACGGACACGGATGGAAGATCGACTGGGGAGACCGGTACTTCAAGTGGCAAAGAAAGTTCCCCCGGCGCTTAGTGGATCTCCATTGGACATGACCCATATAGATTTGTGTGGTGAGGTGAGATGGCTATAATCATGGACGTTTCGATTTGTTTTCACCAGTTAACACATTACACCAGCCTCACATGCTGTGCCTGTCTAGTGACTAGTGAGTCCTTGGGCCTGCTGATGTTCCCTGAGCTACCAAATGATCCATCAGGTGTCGTTGTTGGATGAATCCAGGACCAGCGTACGCATGTATGATAGCATATGCACATGTACAATGTCATTACATCATGTCATTAGTGTGTGTGTGTGTGTCAGATGTTTTCCCAAAGTTCCTGTGGCCATTGCAAGTGGCGATGGTTTTTCAACATCATGTGCAGGACGTGGCCATGTTCGGAATCACAGACCCTAGACTCTAGACTTCCAAGACTATTTCCATAGTGGCTGAGCTGGTGTCATGGGGTAAAATCCTTAGTAAAACAATTGCTGTTTGGTCAAACATGAATGGTGGTTTTCCAGGCACCGGGTCAGCGGACGTTCTCCCCACATTTTCAATCAAACAAGGTGGTACTATGTGTGGTACTGCAATTCTATCAGTTGCCCCGACAGCTATGCCGCCTACTTCGAAGACACGTCCAGACCTCTCACATTCCCCATGTTCACGCGAGTCCGGAGGACAGATCCACCACATCGGCTGAGTCCGACTCCGTGGCTGGTGGTATCAGTGTGTCTTGGATCCGAGGTGGTGAACCAAAACATTTTGCCTAACTAGGAGCAAGGACGTTATTAGGTGGAGGCCATCGCAAGTAGGTTGGAAGCCATCGCTACGAACGTCACAAGAATTCTACTATAGTAGTGATGCATCTCCAGGGCTTTGTCCTCTTTGGAATCCATGTTCCGATGTGCGCTGTTGGTGAAACGCTATTGACATGGCCCTTTGGCTTTTGAAGGGGATTTGCTATGTGACCCTGTTCGGGACGTGCCAGAACGATGGTGTTGGTCTCCTGTGAGGTTCACCCTGAGAAAGCCTCATCACAGAGGTTTTCCGGCCAGCCTGACCTGAAAAATCAGTGTGAGCACCACTATCCTCTCCGACCACCTTGTTCAGGTCACAACATTGTGCGGCTTCATGTTCCGCTCAACAGCCCATGTTGGGGCGGGATCTGACGAAATTAAACCGTGCCCTACTGAGGAGGACGAAATCAAGCTGCTGAGGCACTTCGTTGGGGCAAGTGCGAGCAGTAAGTAGCAGGGGGTTTATCGGTCATGCAGTGTATATAGTGTGTCTTTTTATAAATATTATATACAGTAGTGGTTTGTGGCAGGCTGTTGATTTCTTTGATACCCCCCTCCCCAAAAAAGACACAGGGTGTTGTTTCATCACTGACACATAGGCATGTTGTCTCCGAACATGTTTCAATGGTGTAGGTGTAGGGTGTTTTGCTGCTAGTAGGAAGCAAATTAATTAAACAATTGGTAGATGACCCAGCAATTGGGCAATTACAAGGTTCATTGAATGCGAAGATTGGCAATTAAGAATTATATAATGTGATGTGTTTGCTTCAGCAGACCTGATTCACCATTAGTGTGAATTCCTATGCAAGAGATGTTGACGTTTGGCGCCAACTGGATTTCGTCTTCACCCTCAACCCACTGGCGCCACTGGATTTCCATCATGGAGGCGTCGTAAGGTGTGATGTTCCTCCGGATGGTGGTGCTCTGATCGGGTCAACATCAGCGATTTGGACCCTTTCGGGTCAACATCAGGCGGTTTCTTCAAGAGAACACCAACGAGCTCGCCACAGCCACTCAGTCGCTTTTTTACTTGAGTTCCTTATAGAGAGAGAGAGAGAGTAGGGATGTTCATGAGACTTTGTGTGAAGTGTTTATGGACCAAACATTTTGAAGGGAACCCATCCCATCCATCCCACTGCCTGAGCCATCATAGATACCCGAACCAGCGGCTTCCAATACCTTGTATGTTAATCCGCCATCTTTTGACAGGGGACCTATTTGGTTGTACTTGGGTCAGTGGGAAATGCTTGACAAAGAGCGCGATGTCTTTGATGTTTTTTTTTTGCGGTCCGGTGGAGAATAATCTGCCAATCCACCAAATACGGAGAATGATCAGCCAATGGCGATTTCGGGTGGGTTCAAGGTATGAGTACGGTATGAGGTCGGGCTGGGTGATGGCACAGGCCTGGGTATTCGACCTTTTCCTCTTTACTGGGGAGCAACCAGTAGAACAATTGTTTGAAGCCACCTAATTATGTGCTCTGAAGTCATTGCAGATTGGGGCACGCACTGACCTAGGTGAAATTGATGAAAGAAGTACACTGGGACTGCTGGGAGGAGCTGGCGACCAACATCAAGTGATTTGGACCAATTCGGATGAGTCAGATGTCGATTGGTACAGTGGGGTGGACCCAAGAAGACCATGGGCGATTCAACATGCTAAGCATTGCGAAGCCGTCTGTCACGATTGAATTTCGATTGAGTGAGCGGAACCTGTAGAGCACTGTAGAGAGATTTCAGACTCAGATTGGAAGAGAACACCTGTAGCCTGTAGCTTTCAAAAAACTACATCCGCAGTGATCTACAGACAGTCTTTTCGCAGCAAAAACCAGCTTTTCCCCGTTCCCATTTTGAGGCAAAAGATCCGACAGCGAGGCTTTGAGGGCCTGATCCATGTCACTGGGTTTGCAGGGAGCAGACCTCGAGCCCAGCATGCGGGAGGAGAGCATGTGGTGAACCCGGGTGAAAGGGAGTGAACTGGGGTTGAGGGACTGGTTTGGGAGGTGATTTGTTATGACCATTCTGTTTGGGGGGGGGGGGTCTTTTTGGAGTTTCCTTTTTGGGGGGGGGGCGGCAAAAACTTCAGCGTCATCAGAGAGCCATGAGACCGAGCCCGGAGAAAAAGGCGCAGTCCGGAGCGGATCAGGTCCCTTTTTGACATACTATAGGGCTATAGGCTATAGGAGTAGTATAGGAGTATTATATGTTATTTATTTGTTGTTATTATCCAACCACCATGGCACAAACCCAAATATGTGTTTTTACACATGGGAGTCAAATAAACCACGAATCTTAGGGGTTGTGCAATCTACTCTGAAACCACTGGATACATGCCCGGAACCGAGTTGACACCTTCTTGTTGACCAGGCCTAGGTAATTATACCGCGAAAGAGTGGTCACTCAGGTTCAAGTTCAAGGTATTACTAAACCGCCTATATCTATACCTACTGACCTGACTTCGCCTGGGTTGAATCACAACCCAGTTGCTGTGCAAGTGCTGTAACTCGGACATGTTGCTCTAACGAGCATCAGAGAGGATTAGCCTTGGTAGGAGGGCTGGTTGCAAGGTGATGGGATGCCACGGTTCACGAAGTATATAGCGGGATCATTGTGGATCAATATAAACATATATATATATAATATCTTGCCCAATTACTGGCCTTGATGGGTCAACTGCGAACAGAGATTGAAGGATCGCCCAGGTTTACGATCCCATAGGTACCCCCCAAAAACGGGTCCTATAGTAAGGTCACTTAACCTCTCTGAGGTGTCACGGGGTGCATCTACCAAGAGAGGTTGAGCAGCCCATCCGCTCGCCCATCCCATATGTACCACAGACCAGGGTCCGAACGTGAAGCGGTCTCTCAACCTCTCTTGGTAGACCAGCAATCCGCTCGACCGTTGGGTTTTTCGACCTTCGCCGCTGAGGTCTGTTGGACGAACACTGAGACCCTGACGGTGACGCGAGTAGTGGGAAACGCGGGGGAGGAAAGGCGGTGTCCATGCAGAGCCGGAGTCGGGGGAAAGTAACCCCGGTGTTGTGCCATGGTTTCCCCGATCTACTCAAGAATTCAGCAGGATGTAGCAGGAAGTTTGTGTGAATGTCAGCACTCTTTTTTGGAGGTCCGGTAGTAGGACAAGCTGGACTTCATTTGCGCGGACCCAGAAAACACCGCCACAACCACGCATACTGATGGACAGCAAGTGCCAGAACGGCACAGGGGTGAGATACCTTTTGACATCTTTTGACATGTTAGCTAGCATGTTCTCGATGGATTGGGCATGTTCTCGTGCAGTTTTTTCATGAGATGTTGAATGATGAAGGAGTTAGGCAATCAACCATCTTGCCCTCCGGAGGGCAAAGCCCACTTTAGATAAATGGAATCAACGCCGCCCCCAGGAAGAACTACGCAAAAATGACGTTTGATGTATTTCATGTACCGGCAAGAGCACTGAGGCCAATACAGATTTTCACTTGACTCTCAATCGTGGCCAGGTCTATCAAAATAATTCCTGGGCCAACTTCCTGCACATGAGCGTGACACGAGTTTTGCTACTCCTGCTGCATATTCAGGTTGTTGATCAATGCTTTGGGAGGGTAGGGGGAAGGAACTCTCAATTTATGGTGATTTAGATAGATAGATATACAGTATATACATGTTTGAACGGATTGTCGTGGCATGTGCGTTTGTCAACACCCCTACCTTGCCTTGATGGATTGTATACTGACACAGCATTTTGTCAGTTGAGCACCTTCCCCCCTCTCGTGCAAAACACCTGTTGGCACAGGAACGAGGATTTTCCACCAGGTTTCGATGATTTTGCTCGCCTCTCCCAGATCCAGGTGCGCCAGTTTACATCGGTGGATCGCTTGCACACCAAGAAGTCCAAATCCTAATCCAAAAGTGCGCGATTGTAGCTTGCACGCGTGCATATGAGATTGGATGAGGGTCCTCAGGATTCCACCCAGCCTATACCCACTTGCCGGGATGCCTTGCTCGTTGAGTTTAACCTCCGCATTGTCAAAAGTTTCTGGCAAGTATATAGCCGTTGGCTTATCTTGCATACACATCGAAACATGACCAGCATCCGCGTGTCAGAAGTGCGCAAAGTGTTATCCACACACCCAACTGGCTACCACATCCATCACCACCCCAACCATCTCCACCCCACCCTGCGCAGCCACCACACCTTAAGAGTCTATACTACAATTAGATACAATTAGCCAGCTTTATACTAATGATTTGACAGGACAGTCCCCCTCCTCTCACTACACTTATCCCCTTGCGGAGATGACACACACACACACACACACCCGCCAAGCTTGGCGGTTGAGGGGCGAAAGTAAACGAGCGAACGAGTAAACGAGGCATCCTTGTTTTCAGTACTCGAAACACCCAACAAACCATGTTCAGAACCAGCGAAAGACGAGACGAACCGATGGCCAGAAAGCGGAAAAACATGGATGACGAAAAGGGAGAGTATATAAGATCCATCCATGATCCATCCACGAAGCCCAGCATTGAAACCACTATGTCAGAACCCATTTTTACCTATGTACTTTCTCTCATTGCGGTGTAAGACAGAACTAGTCAAACAGCAAACTCATAGACAACTCAACAGCACCACAATGCCATACTGAACCTATTAAATTATCGTGACTGATAGTGCACCTATAGTCATTCACCGGCGACCAATTAAAGGGAACTGAACCTATTAAATTATGGTGACTGATAGTGCACCTATAGTCATTCACCGAGTGGCACACTCACCCATTTTCCCAAATGATTGGGTCCAATTTCCCACCCCATCGCTGGCCATGGATGACGCTTGGCCGCTGCTTCATTGCTGCGGGGTCTTGACCTTTGCAGCTCTTCTGCGCAAGAGTGACTCTAATGCCACTTGGAGCAGAACTGGAAGGGCGGCAAGGGCCAGGGGCAAAGGCCACGCGCGAGTGAGTTCTGCGGGAGGCGGAGGATGATTTCCAGGTTTCCCAGGTGAAGTCGCATTTTTGCAGGTCTTTTTTACAGATTGGAATGGCCTTTTCTGAAGTTTCAGGGCTTCAGGCACATGCTAGTTACTAGACGGTTCAGGGGACCCACGACCACCCACCGAAACGGAAGTGGGGCTTCTTCTAGCCCTGGGGACCTGAGGTCGCCATTGGTCTGTCCACGCTGGGCCTTGTCGCGTGGTGCTTCTGCGACTTCCGGCGTCAGATGCGCTCCGTACGAGACGAGCTGTGGTCCAAGGTGGTTTGGCACAGCGCGGGACCGGTAGGGCTCAAGGTCGGCAGGTGAGTTGTTATCCGACCCGACACTTCCAATGACTCATTTTAAAACATGAATTCAGACAACGTAGTGATTGGACGGAGATTCGGTTAGATGTGCACCATGGCTTGACCCAAGTGTCCTTGGATTTCAGCTCCTCTCAACGTAGCCAAACCTTACCCTTCAATTGTTTGACGCTGTGAGGCTGCAAGCGTTTTGTGCTCCAAATGCTTCGACCTTGGAAGAGCCTTGATTCCTTGCATCACTGGATCCTCAAAGAAACCCCTCTTCGACCCGACGACCTTCCGCTCAAAGACGCGCGGGAGTTCGGCGGGCGCGGGGCGTCCGCGCGGAGCCATGGCCAGCGAGGGCGAGGAGGTGGAAGGGCCCTATGACGATGACTTCGAGGAGGAGGAGCTTTCAGAGGACGAGACTTGGGCCAGAGGAAGGAGTCTCTTCTCCTGTCGCAGCCCTGGAACCCTGGAAAAATGGCAGCCCTGGAACTTTTGGGGACCCAAATGGCACATGGAAAGGGCGTCGGTGTCCCTGCCCAAACGGCATGTCCGTTCGAAACGGGGCCGGTGGCGGTTCATACTGGGGGCGAGCAGCTACATGCAACATACAAGAGTCGAGAAGTCGAGACTGTCGTAGCATAGGTGTCGATAGTGGGGGTGATTGGCTCAAGCGTGCCTGTGAGCCGCGTGTTGCCCTCAGTTTAGGGCATGTGCCATGTCTTCAAGGACATGGTGCAGCTGAGCAACAGCCATAAGGAAGAGCCTGCACGTGGCATGACCCCCCCCGAAATCCTCATGGCTTAGTGGAGTGAAAACCACCTGTTCTGTCTTGGGATGTCGGTGGACACGTGGGGGCGGGGGGGGGGGGGGGTCCAGGCCCAGGATGGGGTCCAACGGTGAGACTTCACCGGCACCGAGCCGGACGGCCCAGGAGGCGCCACCGAAAACTGTGGCCGCTGAGGCTAAGCCGCCGAAAGCACCGGAAGCTGAGGCAAGGTGAGTTCTGGGCTGGGAGGGGGATGAGGGTCAAGGGATGGATTTAGGGGGCAGTGGGGTTTTCGAGAAATGGATGAAAAGAACACACTTGTCTTGGAGGAGATTCGAATATTGCAGGCCTTTTTTTTTTAATCAGATTGGCCCAGAAGACCGGGTTTGTATATTATAGAGGATCGTGGCGCGATGTTTTTTGAACCCTGCCTGGGATTTGATCAAATCGCAACCTTGAGCAAGTGATCATCACTCTCTTGGTGGTGGGGTTGTTGATCATAGCCGACCCCTGCACTGGGGCTGGAGGGCAAGATTTCACGTGGCTTCGCCTATTGGAAACGGCAGTTCATTGCCTAACCCAGACACACCATGACACACCATGATTGGGGGGTCAATTGTTGGCATTGCGTTTTACCACTGAGGGTCAATTGTTGGCCAGCGTTGCAGTGCGAATTCTGTAAACACTTGGAATAATTCCACACAAAACGGAATAATTCCACAATGTTCCATACAACATTGACTAATTATGACTAATTCCATACAAAATGGACTAATTCCATACAAAATGGTACCATTGCCTAACCCAGACACACCATATATGCAACTTTTGCCTTCATTGGGGGTCGATTACGGGCAGTGCTTTCTACCACTGGGGGATCAATGGTTGGCCAGCGTTGCAGTGCAAATTCCATACAAAATAGAGTCGTTTTTGCCTCGCAACCTATATATATCTATATAGTAGCTTCTTGTTCCTAGTAGTGTGGCCAGCAGTGCCCCTCGTAGCTTCTTGCTCCGTTCGTAGCGATGCCCATACGACCGCCATCACGGCACCCAAGGCCGCCGCTTCTTCGCCCTCATCGCCCTCGCGGCCGAGCGTGGTGCACCGGCACGAGGGTGGCGCAAGCGGCGCAGGTGCGGCCGCACAGCCGCGGCCGCGGTGGCACCATGATGAAGCACGGATGTGAAGAGACAGAATCAGATACACTTTTGGAATTATAGAATGAACAGAAGGATTATATACAAGGGTATCAGGAATGATTCTGTAGCTGCTTTTTGAAGTATTGAGCATTTATAAATTCCTGAAAGCTTGTCACGCGCGGGAGCGCCTTGAAGGTTCTCAGGAAGGAAAGCCACCAGCTTTGAGGGCAAAGTTGCCCTGTTTCTTTTGGAGTTCTTTTTATGCAAATTCTTGAATCAGGAAGCCAGAAAATCAACATTTAGCATTTTGAAGATGCCCAATCTCAATCTGACAACATTGTGTGTGCCCGAATTAAAAGTTTGTATACATGATAATTATATGATATATCATATCATGATATTTTTTAATCCCAGACACTCCATGTATGGCATATATATATATATATACATCGACATTGGGGTGGTTTCAGGGGCTAATATAGGCATGATACGTTTTCACATGTTTTCACATGTATTTGCTTTGTACTGCCTCGCCTGCTAGCACGTACTGAAACGCGCCACTCAACGTGAGGTCAGGTCAACCGGCTGAATCACACACAGTCGTCACGACGGACGACTCGACTCAGACTCAGTCGACGATAAACACTAAAAACGCACCAAAGGTGATGAACGTGTTTAGCCGCCCTGTTGGGCAACCTGAGGCACAGGAAGATCCATACAAGTTCGAGTCTTTGTTTGGGGGGATAGGCATGGGTCCCAATGCTTTCCCGAAGTGCAATTTATGCAGGGACAATCACGACTAACAAGTCACGGAGAGAAAGAAACTATCATGATATATGTGGGGGACATTGTTCCTCCATGTTCTTCCCACCAATTTTCTCTTTGCTTACACCTCCAACAGCCCCCAGCACAGGCCCCGCAGTGCTCCCGGAACTCCAGCCGCCAGCCCATCCCAAACGCTCCACAATGATACATGCAAACTATCCAAATGTATATATAGGTTATCATTTGCATACCAGCACCTTCCGTACGGTCGCTCCAAACGAAATTGCCCTACTCTACAGACAGGATCTCCAGACAGGACAACTTGCAGGTGCAGGTGTTTGGAACATCAACCCCATTCTTTCCCACACACTCCATGGGAATGGCATATTGACCTGCGTTCACCCCTGAATATATGTATAGTGGAGGTCACTGACTTAGACCAATTGTGGAAATATCATCTATGTCACTGAGAGCTCAAATTCCATTCCGTTTGGAGGTGATTGGCCACGCATCGAGCTGCGCCCCACCGGTGGCGCCACCGGCCCCCCGAGCGGGCGGCGGGTGCTGCGGGGGAAGATCTCGGTGGGGGAAGATGGAAGGC